ACCAGAAAGATGTTAGTGGTGGGGGGGGGGAGGACAGTTTGACATTTTACAGAGGTTTGCTTGTCTGGAGGCAAACTAGCCCCAATACAAAATTTCACAGCTTGCTTTACTGAGGCAAATTTCATCTCTGTTTACATGGGATTATATCCTGTGCCCAGACCTTCATTTTTCTCACATCTGGCGGGCAAAGAAAAATGAAGCCCTGATACACATGTTATTAAATGTTTGTGTCCTAGCTACAACTGCCTTTACGGTTCATGGTTGTAACTCCGATTGGCTATTTCTGGCATGATAATTGGTTAATGCTATATAAATTAAATAAAGATATATTTAGTGATTGTATAACTATATTTAGCTTGTTGTTATTATGTGAAATTGACATTTCTTCTGGCACATTTTGATTGGATACCAAAAATAAAACTATAGTGTGGGTGGAAAGTAACTCTGAATGGATCAAGACTTGCATCAGTCTCTGTATGTAATTACAGAGCATAATTGCAGGTTAATGAGATTTCTAATAGTAATGCAACATTGGTTACAGTAGAAGACTAAGGGGGAGTTTACATGAAAGGTAATTGTTTCAAGTTGCAACTTCCAGCGGTATCTCCTATTTCATTTCATTTTATATATAGAAATGAGCTGGCATGCCTTGTAACAGGGGTCTTACTTATAATTTGCATTGCCTGAATTATTGGGCAATTACTGTACACTAGCTGGATATTTTGCAAACAAAGATGATAACCTGGGATTGCTCGCCTACCATAGTTGAGTGTTTATATGCTTTGTCTGTGCAAATATAATTTGATATAAGCTGTATATGTCATATGACATTCTCCTGACAGATTTTAATCTTAGAATCAATGATAAAATGATGGACAGTATAAATACTGTATATATATTGTAACTGGTGTATACAGGTTATAATTATGAAATTTGCTCACAAAAGTGGGATAGTTTGGAACATATATTTAATTAAATTATATATTTGTAATGCTAATTATCCCAGTATTATGTTTTGGATAGCCAGCATGCCACCCTGAGGATTACGAGTACCATTGATAAGTGTATGGATATATTTGACAAGATGTGCATTTATATCATATCATTAGGAAAATTAAATATTCATCAATACTACTGTGCAGCCTTTCTTAAAGGGGTACTGTATAAATATTAGTTGAAAGTCAGGCAAAAGAGGACAGATATAAGACATATGATTAAATTATGTCATGTTTATCATTGTACAGTTAATTTGGTATTGGTTTATTTAACAAACAATTTCCAACTAAGATTGCTTCATTAAATTAACTTACACACAGTCTCTATTGATTTAAAACATGTGGTTGTGTGTGTACTTAGTTATATATATATATAATTTTAAACCCAGTGTTTGTTGTGTGTTAGTTTACTGGTTTCCTCGCCACAAGGCAATATTCTCATTATTTAGAGTGTGGGCTGTTCACCATGCAGTTCATATCAAAGGCAGCTAGGGGCAAGTGAAATTGACCAACTGATGACAACCACACTGTCCATGAGAGTAAGATTAGCAGCATAAGACAGAGTTGCATATATTTACCCAGTAAAGCACAAAATACCTTTATGCACCATATTTTATTTTACTTTAAATTCTAATGCTAGAAGATTTTACTCATGGAACATTGGAAATTAATGGGGGAAGGTGGTTCATAAACAACATAATAACACTGTCTTCTGAGTCCAGCAATGCAACTAGTGGAGCACACTGTATACACCTTTGTTACATAGTATGTGTGTATTTGCGTTGTCGTGATTTTCTGCCGAAGTGTTTTTCAATAGAAAAGTTAAGGCTACAAGAAGCACAGTACTGACTATTTTTTAATAGAGACTTATTGCCACTGCTGCTATTACACTTGTACAAGCAATTTTTTTTTCTTATATGGAGAAATTATGTTGTTTTTGCGATATAGGTTCAAGTTTTTTACTTGTTTTTCCAAAAATGCAGCAAAATATTTGTGACTCTGATATATGAATTGGAACAAAAGAGTCCGCTCAGAACGCAGGAAATCGCATTTCCGAGGTCCTAGATTCCAAAACTTCCCGGGGGAGGATACCCCCGGATCCCCCTACAAATGCGAGATCTTATGTATGCATCAGTCAGCTCAGGAGCTGAATCCACCCCTGGTCTATACCAGAGTCACGAAGCTCAAATTGTTCAAAACTTTGAATTTTGTGTTTCGATATCAATGTATATTATATGCTTTGTATACTTCATTAAGAATCGTTTAGAAGGATTTTCAATATATTTTAGTGATAGGCCTACTTACAACAAAAGCACAACAAATCATCATATCATTATACTAGACTGTAACGTTGCTATTTATAGCAATTCGCCTGTTGTTACTGAATGTATATTTAATATGTCTGCAGTCTGTAAGCTTTTGAAGTCTTATAATTTCTCATTTTTGTTTAATGCTTTCTCTGCATATGTAAACTAATAGAATTAAAGCTAGGTAAATACAATAAAAGTACATAAGTTGGAACGTGTATATGTTTACATATTACGCTAGACATTTTTCTGGACTCTCCTGTTACGAAACTAACAAACAGGTGACGAGTTTTACTATAGTGCGAGGCATGCGAGGCATATGAGGCACGATGCGAGGCACAATGCGAGGCATGAAAAAAAATGCGAAGCATGCGAGGTAGAAGTGCGAGGCATGAAAAAAAGTGCGAGGCATGAAAAAAGTGCGAGTCAGGCAGATGTGCCAGTGGGAGGCAGACACAATGACTGACTCCAAAATTTGACGATATTTAACATATTGAACATACTTAACTTGACGCTGGACAAACGGACAAATGTGAACGACATTCTAGTTTTAATTCTGTCTATACATTATAGTTTTAAATAACTACAGCACTCCAGTCAAAACGTCAAAAAGTAAACATATTAACCTAGACAATAGCTCAACAAGTGACAAGCTTCACTAAAAATTATGGAATATT